TGAAGTGGTTAGTTGTGCCAGCCCTCTGGATTCTGTTCAAGTATGAAATTATGCGATATGGTTTTGTGTTGGTTTTGCTGTGGTGGCAGTTTATGCCAGTACAGTCCTCGACTTACAACATTTCAAGTTACAACATTTATAAATTGACACCCTGTTTCAACTTTCTGATGTCGGTTTTGACTTTACATCGCTTGATCTGATGTGATGCCATGCCAGTGAACAAGTTTGCTGTGTCACCCATCTCCCTGGAGAACACCTGCCCAAACTTCCTTGAACACTTTCTTCAAGAAAGCACGCAAGACTCCAGAAGAACCTGCAGCCAAGACTCCAGCCAAGAGCCCTTCAGAAAGTCCAGTAAAATCACCTCAAAGAAGTCCGTCCAAATCAATATGATTGATATTTACAATATAAATACATTAATCTAGCTATATTACTCATCTATAATTGATCGAGTACAAAATTCTGGAGTATTTTTGGTGAAAATAGGGTATCAGGCCTTGGTTCAGGAACCAATTCCCCATTTATAACATTGTTTCTTATAAGGAAATTGGTTCCAGTTACAATGTTTCAACTTAAGAAGTGGTTTTCAGGAACCAATTGTGTCCTAAATTTGAGGTCTGCCTGTATTCTGAAAGGAAAGCTCTGTGAGTCGTAGTTTTCCCTGCCCAGCTGATAGTTTTGTCACAATTAGTGTTAATTAAGCTTTAAGTCATGCAGCCTTTTTGAAGATGTATTGACAGCAAAAATCAAGTGGAAACTTATCTGGATATGTTCCATGCAGCATACAAGCGTTTAATAGCATGGGAAATGCATCTAATGCAAAAAAAAAAAAAAAAAAAAAAAATGCTCTGAAGCAATTCTTGATGAAGGTTTGAAGTTTTAGGATACAACTGTCAGCTATTAACTTTACTCATCTCATTTTCTGTTTAAAGTCCTAGCCAGCACAAAGGTAATGTAGCCCCACAATACAGTGAAATAATATGAATGCTTCTTTAATAAAATTCAATGCTACAAATAGGCAAAATAAATGGTTTCCTTGATGTAAATTCTCTCTCATCATGGGTCATTTGCAGACCTTACTCTCACTTAAACACTGTAGCTTTTTTGAATAATTATTTTTTGCTTGAACTATATTGTCATTATTTTGGGTATTTTTGAGAGTAACATAGTAGTCTACTGTGCATGGTCAGCATTTGGTTATGTCAGGCAACTATCCATAAAAATGTATTTAAAAAAAAAAATTCCTAAAGGATATAAATGTGCTGATGCTTTAAACTTTAAGGTATATTATGCTTTGTGGTTCAGATTTTCCCTAGGAGGTCATGATGCAACCTACTGTTTAATCCAAATCACACCTGTACAGAAAAACAGTAAATGGTGTCAAGGTACTAGTATCAGTATCAGAAATTAGTTTGGTTTCAGTGCCTTAAGATGCATTTGAATTTTCAGAGTCAGATGCAAAAAAGAACTCGTCTAAATGCTATGAAGGAACCTGAAAAAAGAAGATCTTTGTTCTCCTGCATCAGACAGGAAAGTCTTTTGTGTAGCGTGGGGATAGAGAAAAGGGACAGACTTTTCTTAGAGCAAAATAATTCATTGGTGCTGGTGACTATCTCCCTAGAACTGATCATGGCTATTGGCGATGTGTTGTGCAGAACCAGGCCCAGGCAGACACCAACCAGCACCTGTACCAAGTGTCTTACATGGTGGCGCTATCCTTAACAGAAGTTTAATGCCTTTTTGTTCCCATTAGACATACGCTTTTTATGTCACTGAGCAGAAGCTCTTTCCCTCTGAGGTCTGTGATTAATGCCATTGACAGATCTGCATGTAAACTTTTCCTGCCAGCTAGCAGTGGCCCTTCTAGATGGGTCTTGATCCACCTAAAAAACAGTCACCCATACTTGGACAAAGTTCCACAATAACCCTAACCAGGCCAGAATTCAGAGGCATTAAGGAGTTGGTATTCACCACTGAGGAAGGGAAAACTCTTCCTCCCTAGTAGTATCCTTGTTATTCCACCAACAACAGAATAATCACAAAAATGTAGGCTTGGGGACAGAACAACATCAATGCCCTTCCTGGCCATCAAAATAGCTCTTTTTGTTGGTAAAGCTGTAGTGTCAGCCTTGGAGGCCAATCAGAAGACTTTAGACTTCCCCAGAACTTCTTGTGTAGATTGCTGAGACTATGCAGACTGAAGCCTCAGTCCTCTTAAAAGTCCACTTATTTTGTTTGACTATCCTGCATGCTTCTGGTCTAGTCTAAATTGTATAGTTAACATGGACCGACTCAACTGAATCTGATGACTTGCATCAGATGCTGATCACCATTACCACCGAAGGGAAAATGCGTGGAAATGAGCTATAAAGAGTTCCCTTCAAGGCTGGAGTACTGCAATACCTGGCCGGTCCCCTGAGCTCTTTGGTCATTTAGCCATACAAAAAAAAAAAAAAATCTAACAAAAGCACCATGAAAGATAAAGACCTTAAAGCTCTAGCACAGTGGTTTTCAACCCATGGTCCCTGGACCTTTGGGGGTCTGCAGACTATGTTTAAAGGGTCCACAAAAGATGCCTATGATCAATCAAAAGTATATACTTATAGGTCAAAAGGGTGAATAGCTACACTTATAGTTCAAAAGGGTCTGCACCTCCATTCAAAATTTCCAAAGTGGTCTGCAAATGACAAAAGGCTGAAAATCACTGCTTTAGCACTGGTTGAGGAACAGTCGTGCTCCTCAGCTTTGTTACAATTCCACAAGTTACACACATTCCAGGGGTCATGGAAAACCTACTGAACAGCAATGCAGTAACTGATCATGAGTGGAATCCTTCCTAGATTCAATACTCCATCAGGAGCAGACTTTGACAATGGATTCATTCTCCAGGCACAACGCTAGGAGCCAGAGCCTATGTATTCTCTTAGGACTCTTAAGACTTACCTTATGCTGACCCAAAAATTACATGGCTCCCTCACAGAAACACTACATGGCATCCAGGACTCCCATTCTCTCAGTGAGGCAGCTTTTATGTGCTCCTCTGGAAATGTGCATGCTCAGTCTGCTAATGGGCAGCTGTCAGCCTTCTGTGTCTCCAGAGAATGGTTCTATTCTGGCCAAGAAGTGTACCTATCTCCCATTTTCTCCATTTGTAGACTTAGGCATTTCTGTCATGTTGGGATCCAGCTCACTCGTAAGAGATATCTGCTAGTGCATTTGTACACATAAACATCAGCACTAACTTCAGTAAAGGGTGAGAATTCATTTGTTATGTACTGGTGGTGAAGCCTACATTTTGCCCAGTACCTACTGCTTAAGGCATATGCCCAGCACATAAGAGATTTGGGTTCTAGCCCCCTCCCACCTTCACCTCCTCACCCCTTTGGTGTAAGAGGTTATGAATGCTCAGGTCCCATCATCTTGCCCTATCCACTAGGCTGTGTATCTTCAATGTTTTCTGTTGAAACTGGCTCTGTGGGTGGAATCAAATGCAAGTGTCATGAAGCAGTAGTACCTGGCAATGGTCCACTAATTAAGCCACCCTCCTAAAAGGGAGGAAGCCCTGGGTTCTAGGTCCTACTCCCAATATTATTTATACCTTTTATTCAGTGACAAATGTAATACATAAAACTGAGGGATGGTAGCAGCAAGTTTTCATTCCCTTGACTGAAGATACTGTGAAGAAGAGAAAAAGACTGGATGAGGTACATACATATTATTTATCTGGCAGCAGCAGGGGTAAAAATCCAGTCAAACTAATTTCATGCTGAGGGGACTTCATAAGGATTCTCACTTTTCTAATGTTTCTTCCATTCTTGAGTCAAGTGTGAATTTAAAGGAGAAAGTTTTGTTCTAAATTGTCAAAGAAACTGAACAGCACGACACTGTTATGTAATCCTTCCTAGTCCTACAGGATTTTGATTATGGAATTCATTTTGAGACTTCACCAGTAAATCAGCTAGTTGCAATTACTTTAAGATGGTCCCTTTATTTATTCTTTTCCAGTTACCACAGCTGCAAGAAAATTAGCCATTGAGATTCTGGAAAACTGCTTCACTTGCACAGTCTTTGATAAATCTTAGGAAGGATACTTCAAATTCATTTTTTTCTGTCTGTTCTACTTAAAACTTTACATTTATTTCAGGCCTAATATTCTTCCTTTTTCTTGTGTGCAATGCATTTCAAGCAGACAGACCCCTGCTCCTCCCTGTGAAGGTTTTTTCAGTGATGGACTGGAAGCTGAAACATTGCTTAAGATCCTTTTTTAGTGAGGGCACAATGTTCATTAAAGGAAGAGATTATCACCAGGCATATAGCTCTGCTTCTTTGGTACCCCTACTCTTCATTCCTGGCTTTTCATGTTACTCTTACTTAGGTTATTTATTGCTTTTAAAAAACTAAGAATTTCAAACAAGAACACCGTTAAAGGTTGTTTATGTGTATTTACTTCCAACACTAAAATGTCAGGACTCAAATTAGAATAACACATGTTCACAAGTACTTCATGACCAGTCTCCAAATTTAAAACCATTATCTGCCCAACACTCTGATGTCTGCTTTCACTTTCATATACTTTCTGTGTGCCTGAGAAAGAAGTGAAAGATACAATGCAACACAGTAATTTTAACAGCTTGATTTATCATATAACCTACACAAGGGTGGCCAACCTGAGGCACATGGCAGAGGCCAGCTTCTGTGCATAGCACGCAGCAGACAGGGGAGAAGATGGACAGCATGGTGGCAAATAGAGGAGAAAGCAGAAAACAGCAGCATATGGGGCAGAGAGCACAAGGAAGGCAGCAGAGCAGCTGATTGAGCAGGGGAAGGAAATCAAAATAGCACTTAACGAGGGTGCAGTGCTAAATTGTAGCTCATCTGCCAAAAAGGTGGCCCCCTCCCACAGACCTACACACATCTGAAATTGTGTGTATATTTCACTATTTGAATAAAGTTTGGGTTAATAGAGGGCTTATTAATGTGCAACATGGTGCTGAATTTACAAAGCACACTGCACATTAACAACCCCTCTATTATTAACCAAAACTAAATTCAAATAGTGGAGTATACATGCAATTTCAGATATGTTATTTCAGTAAAGGTGGTATCTTTTATTAGACTAACTGAATAGTTGGGAAAATGTTCTTTACAAGCTTTTGGGCACAAACCCTTCTTCAGGCATAGGGTGAGTCTGCTGGTGTTTGTGTACTCCAGGGGCAGGCCAAACATGGCCTGTGGGCTGAATCTGGCCCACCAGCCATTCTATCTGGCCCACAGGGCCTCCAAAAAATTTAGAAAATGAATATTTATCTGCTTCTGGCTGCCTGTCAAAGATAACAGGAGACAAGGGCAGTAGGACCCAGGAGGAGCCAGAAGCAGGACACAGCATCCCAGCCCCACCCCTAACCCAGCCATTTGCCTGCCTTCCTGCCACTGCAATGCTCCAGCACCCCCTGGCTCTCAGCTGCATCGTTGGACCGTGGGAGCACAGGGCCTGTTCCAGTAGGCCAGGGTGTGTATGTGTGTGTGTGTAGAAAGGGACTCTATGTGTGTGTGTGTGTGTTCATAGGGTGAGTTCCTCATGCACACCCCACCATGCACATGCACTCACACCCACTTTGCACTGCCATACACACAGACCCCCACACCCACACCTCCTCACACACCCCAGCCACCCTCCCCCCACACAAAACCTCCCCACAAACCCCATACCCACCCACACCCCACATATCCACAC